CTCGACAAGGAGCCACGTCCTGCACTAATTTAGGGTCTGCCAGATTGTGAGTCACATACCAAAGTATGTGGGCCCTGCCATGCTGAACGCCTGGGTCTGCTGCTATGGTTTGAGGCTACGGGAAAGTGAAAAGAAGAAAGTAGTACACTTTTTGTTTTGAGGCTGGTGTAACATTGAGAATGTGTTCTTTATTCTCAGTCAGATCTCAGATCACAGAGATAAACTCCATTCTATTGTTTGAGTTAACCATGACCAAGAGAAGCCAATTTACTCATAACAGCACTTTCAGTAAAAGAACCACAAAATGACTATCATTGCCATTATAGAAAACCCTGCGGTAACGTGTGATTGCATCAGTCAGTTTAGCAACAGGGTGGCTCCTAAGGCTGGACAGGTTCACTTATACATGTGCTGTGTTTGTGTTCTCCAACCCCTAAAAGCAGCACCAAGTTTTGTGTATCTGACTTTTACTGGGTCAGAGTCCTGCATCCAAGGTCTCGCAATGGAGACAGAGAAATGAGATGTAAATCACAGCTTAAAGAGCAGAGGAAATAAATGCAGAGTCAGTGCAGTATGGTGGGCAGAGTAGAGGCGTAATAATCACACAGACCTGGCTGGTAATGTCAGCTCTGCCCTTATGAGTCATATGACCTGAACAGGAATTTAACCTTTCTGAGCCTCAGGAGTCAACGTATGACAAATAGCTCCACAAGGGCTAATCCAGACACCAGTTCAGAGCAAGTTCCTTGTCAGCTTCATTGGAAGTTACCCTAGCTTGGATAAGCCTACCTTGCCCAATACAATTCCTGAGATCCATGTTTCAATCCATAGTCCTTAAGCATCATCCTCCATTGGCTCCTTGCCAACCATCTCCTACCCAATGGCCCTGTGGCTGTCTCCTGACATGCCATGCAGCTTCACTCAGATGCATGCAGGGGTCACAGTTTTGTCTACCGCACCCCAGTATAGAATTGGAGTGGGGAGGGATAACATGGCGTCCCACTTGGATTTGGTCCGGTGTGTAGGATGGTACTACTGTGGGATTCCACTGGGATCTGGGATGGTGGGTGGGATTGGACAGCTTGGGGTCCTGCTGAGGCCCTGCTAGTCAGGCCACTCACCTGTACATGTTGGGGCTTATCAAAGATGGGCTTCCATAAACCAAGCAGATGTGTTGGGGAATGAACTGGAATCTTTTATGGCAGGAATCGAATTCAGAGAAAGGTGCTTAGCAGAGCCTGGAAGAAAGATGGAAACAGGAGCAAGCATGTCTGTTCCTTCATCTCCCCAGCAACTGTCAGGCCTCTGGGCCTCCAGGGGAGTTGTTCACTTGTAAGGTAAAAGCAACAACACCAGGATGCTGCAAGCACAAACACACCCTTCAAAGTCTTGTCAGCTTTACTAAGACCATCTTATATTGCTATTCAAAATGTAGTTAATGGCTTCCTGGCTTCCACCTGGCTCAGTCCTGACTATTGCAGGCATTCAGTGAGTGAACCAGCGGATGGGAGATTCACTTTCTCTTGTCTCTCTCTCTCTCCCTCTGACTCTCCCTCCCTACCTCCTCCCTGCCCCCAGTCACCAGTCTTTGTAGTTATTTCTTCTGTCCAAATATAGCAGAATAGATTCCAAATTGACAAAAATACAGAACTTTTCTCTAAATACTGTTTTATTGAAATAAAATATAAACATCATGGCGTAGCATATTGGTTGTCAAAGAAAGTAGGAAGGATCATCATCCCTAATAGTAATAATGTATTTAGGAGCAGACTCTCGCTTTTTTTTTTTTTTTTAAACAATTTATGTGGTGAAAGAGAGTGTGGAAGATGATGTGCAGTCAAAATGGAGCTGAGCATCCTAGCTGATGTCTAACCAGGTATCTAGGAGAGGGGAAGGCTATTTCCCCTCTAGGGCAAGAAGGCAGCCTTTTCTCTGGCCGCTGTTACTGAGGATTGGGATAATTGCTGGTTTTCTACCAAATCCAGCCAGGCACCACCACTATAATAGAGGCCCTGTGTGAGAGTCTGTCTCCTAGTAGCATCATAGCTGTCTTAGCTTGAGCCAGTATATTCTGATGTTCACACGAAATTGCCTAATGACACACTTCTAGATGTATTCCTGTCCGTAAGTGACACATGACTAATTATTGCTTGTGCAGTTTGGGGACACTAAATATTTTCCAAAAAGCTGACACCAGGAGGAGCTACTGAGTAGTAATTCGCTGCATCCAGGTCCGCTGCAGTCCTCAGCTGGCTGAGGAGTCACCTGGTAGACTTCTAGCCGTGCACATTGAAGCCTCTGGCTGCACTCAGCATTCTTAACAAGCTCCTTGGTAATTGACTCATAATTTCAGAAACACAGACTCAAAAGAATTCGTAGAGTGGCTTCTCTTTTTCGGATGAAAAGGTCACTGAGGGGGCCAGTGCTGTGGCATAGTGTGTTGGGCCGCTGCCTGCAGTGCCAGCGTCCCATATGGGTGCTGGTTTGAGACCTGACTGCTCCACTTCCGATCCAGCTCTCTGCTGTGGCCTTGGAAAGCAGTGGAGGATGGCCCAAGTCTTTGGGCCCCTGCACCTGCGTGGGAGACCCAGAGGAGGCTCCTGGCTCCTGGCTTTGGATCAGCCAGCTCCGGCCGTTGAGGCCTGTTGGGGAGTGAACCGGCAGATGGAAGACTTCTCTCTCTCTGCCCCTCCTTCTCTCTTTGTGTAACTCTGACTTTCAAATAAATAAATAAATCTTTAAAAAAAAATAAAAGAAAGAGAAAAAGTGGCTGAGGAAGAGCTGGACGGATTTTCACTTTACCCATGTTGCTGTCGGGCTGTTCCTGAACACCCAGCCAGGCAGCCTGTTGACAGCCTGGTTGACTTGTGCTCAGGAGTCTCTGCTGCGAGCCTGATAGATGAAGAGAAACTACAGGGTTTTCTTCTTTAATAATTTCCAGTGTTCTACTTTCTTTCTTATAGATAAGTAAAAATGTGCCTTCGTGTTGATGTTTTCTTTTTTAATCATGTTCTAGTTATAACTGATCAAACCATGGTACCTCATGCTGGTTTGTTTCCAGTAATGTTTAAAGAAGATGGATGAGGAAAGGAGTGGAAGTCAACTTTTGATGACAGCTCCCTGAGGCTGAGAAGTGTGCTTATCTTAGTGTTTTAGCCACAGACACACACACTCAAATGAACATTTAACAAACTTTACACAGGTCAGGTCAGATATACTCCATGAGGAATTCAGTGAAGTTTTCCAAAACTTTGGCTGATCAGTTTATTCAAGGAAAGCCTACCCATGTCTTGCAAACATCCCGGAACCACAGTTGTAAATAAGGTCAGTCCAAAATGGAATCTACTCTTCGCTTCTTTACCTAAGAGCTCTTGCTTTTTTTCCTAATTCAGGAAAGGAGAGTTGTTGGATTCATCATTTAGAACCCTGTGCTGGAATACTTGAGTAGGCTGACTGAGATTTTTCTGATCTTGATGTGTTAATGCAAATTCCTTCTCTCCATCAGATGCAGAGAGAACTTTAGTTCCTGTTGCTCCATTTCTTACTTACAAAATGTTGAAAGGATTTCTTATGAATCGTTATATTCCCGTGACTAAAAATAGCCATTTCCTTTTTCTTCAAATTATTTGAAAGTGCCAGAAGACAGTATGGAGGAACTTCTGATCATGATGATGAATTCCTAGAAAAGAAAGTGAATTTTGGGTGTCCTTAGTGATCTCTTGTGCTTATGTTGCCTCTAAATCAGATTCAAGGGTTCTCTTTTTATTTTGAGAAAAATAATGGCTTACTAATACCACCCAAACTGCAGTAATCTCCATGATATAGACCTTATTTGTCTTTAGAAAGGGGTGTGTGTGTATAAGTGTGTAAGTGTGTAATAGCTGCATTGACTCCTATAAACAGGCATCCAAATATTTGATTGAATCTATAAGATAGCACTGTTGACCAGCTCAAAGTCTGCCCAGCAGGTTTGAATTCACTGCAGAAGGTCCATAGTGTTAAATGGGACTGTTACTAGAAGGTGAGTGGTTTCATAATGATGCCTTGAAACTTTGGCTTTGGATTTAGAGCTTACATTGTTTCCTTCTAGTACATTAGATACCCCAAACCTGAGAGGTCAGCAGGATGGGATTCATTGTCAAACTGATTGAGAGAGGTTAAAATAACAGCCCATGATGCAGACTGTCAGAGTCAGACCCCTGCCCAGCGCCTGTCAGCTCCATTCTCTGCTGTCCCTGCTGTCCCACTTTACTCGGCTGCAGACTGATAAGCATTTCAGGGTTAGGGACGACAAGGACTGAATCAGCTGCTGGTGAAGCTGGTGATGCTGCTGCTTCTGGTTGGTTCTTACTGTCAGCATTGCTGTCCAGCAGGGCTTCTCAAGTGTGTTCCTTGGAGAAGCAGATGGGAGTGCTGATGGTTATCATATCACATGCTCAAATACATCAAGGAAACACCGAACTAAGCATGTAGTTATTTAGCAAGTCTTTTTATTAATATTAAGTCCTTCTTACAGCCTTCATATGGTAATGAACATGGTAAATCTCCAAAAACTTCTGTCACTTGACCATAGAATTCTTTTTTTATAGCTCTTAGAATAAGTTGGCCAAAGCTGCTCTAGATTACCAAGGGAAGACATTTAAAAATGTAGGCAGAGTTGGCCAGCGCCACAGCTCACTAGGCTAATCCTCCACCTGCGGCACCAGCACCCTGGGTTCTAGTCCCAGTTGGGGCGCCGGATTCTGTCCCGGTTGCTCCTCTTCCAGGCCAGCTCTCTGCTGTGGCCAGGGAGTGCAGTGGAGGATGGCCCAGGTCCTTGGGCCCTGCACCCACATGGGAGACCAGGAGGAAGCACCTGGCTCCTGGCTTCGGATTGGCGCAGCGTGCCAGCTGCAACATGCTGGCCGTAGTGGCCACTTGGTGGGGGGGGGTGAACCAATGGAAAAAGGAAGACCTTTCTCTCTGTCTCTCTACCTCACTAACTCTGCCTGTCTAAAAAAAAAAAAGTAGGCAGTATATGGATTTCTGTAGCCTGTCTGGAGTGAACTAGCTTGAACAGCAATCTGGAAGGCATGCCAGGCTGGTAGGGACATCATTAGTATCCAGGCATGGATAATATGATGTTTTAGTAGCTGACAGACTACATGTACAGTTGTGCCATAAGATTCTGTTACAGGGTAACATCACAGCCTTCACAGTTTGTGTGAGTACACTTAGGATGTTCATACCACAATAAAGTCACCTAACAATGAAAATATTCCTGTCATTAAGCAATTTCATGACTGTGATAGAAAATTACTGTCATTCTTTCTCTTAGTCTGCTGTCCTGAAGATAGGCTTATAGCCAGATGAATGTTTTGATAAAGGCTGGAGTACAAGATAGAAAATAAAGAACACATCAGATTCTTGCAGATGATCTCTCCTCTGGTTGAAATTAATCAAATTGCAATTCCTTTATGTTCCATTTGGCTCAGGGGACCTGTGCCTTTTATATGTCTGCAGTCTTGGCCTTCATGTTGAAGCTCTTCTCTCCAGACTGCCCTGCTACTGGGTTTTTGCCCACAACTTCCTAGAAGCCACTGTTTTCCAGGCAAGCAAGCTGCTTGCATATATTCAGCGGCTATTATGTGCTATTCTGACCATCATTTCTGCTCCCTTAGAAGCATTCCATTTAATCCTCATTTTCCTAAGTTCAATTGGCCCAGGTTATCTCCCACTTTCCTTTCAGAAACATCTGTACTTCTATTTTGGCAGTCAAAGCCAAATTTTTTTTTTTTTTTTTTTTTTAAGATTTATTTATTCATTTGAAAGCCAGAGTTACAGAGAGAGGGGAGGGGGTCCTCCATCCGATGGCTAACTCCCCAGATGACCACAATGGCCAGAGCTGAGCCAATCTGAAGCCAGGAGCTTCTTCCGAGTCTCCCATGTGAGTGCAGGGGCCCAAAGACTTGGGCCATCTTCTACTGCTTTCCCAGGCAGAGAACTGGATTGGAAGTGGAGCAGCCGGATCTTGAACCGGCGCCCATATGGGATGTTGGTGCTTCAGGACAGGGCATTAACCTGCTGCACCACAGCACCGGCCCCATTTTATTTACCCATACAAATTCCTTGTTGAGGAGAATGGGGTGGATGATTGGGAAGTTTGAAAAAAATTCAAATAGTATTTGTCAATAAAGTCTTTTTTGTTGTTTTGTGGTGACTATCATAATAGTTGGCATTCTCTAATTTTAAAGGTGAGATTGCTTTAATTTTAACTTTACTTGTATATATAGTATATGCTTTGAGAGTCTGTGTTTTTCTTAAAAGCGGTGAGAAGAAAGTGTGTCATGAACATTTATGTTTTTACTTGAAGTGACACTGACTGTTGAAAACTTGCTGACATCGTAAGAAAGAACCCTTACTGCTTCATTGACTATAGTAGCAAAAGAAATGGGAGTAAGCCAGGTCTCTGTGTGTAGCCAAGTCAGAGAAATGTCTATGAACTTATGTGCTGAATTAGAGTTTGATAACTCTTAGCCATACATATTTCTTACTTTGATGTCTGATTTTCAGTCAGACCAGGTGTTTTGTGTGTGTGTGTGTATATGGGGGTTAATCTTAGAATTTTGCACTTGGAATTTTCTGATTGAATGAAGTGCTTGCTTGGGCAGCACATATACTTAAAAAAAAAAAAACAATGAATACCTACTTTCTAGTTAGGCATAATATTTATTCTCTTTTAAGTGTTTGGAAACATGTGACATATTCATTTCTAGCTTCTACTTTCTTTATCATGATCTCTCATCATCAGTCATGTTAGATTCCCCAATCTGACATGGACAGAAGCTTGCCCTGAATAAGTAGAGTAGATAAATGGTCTTTCTGTTCCTGGAAAAAATTCAACGCACTTTTTATATTTGATGTCACTAAAAACAGAGTGCTATCATAAAAATGTTTATGTATCGCTTCTCAGCCTTTTGGGTAAGATCAGGTGTAAAAATGTTATGCAATGAGATTTTAGTTTTAAGTCTGAAAAATCAAAATCAAAGGCGTCTTCCCACTCATTTAAAAACAATGACAGCAAAGGGTTTGCCACTTTTTACCTTGTAATACTACTTAGCCTTAAATTAGTATAAGGCAAGCACAGTTTTGTGAACAAAAATTACTCTAAGGAGTTTTTATATGAATATTTGTGGACTATATATATTTTAAAGATTTTCATTTATTTATTTGAGAGGCAAAGCTACAAACAGAGAGGGAGAGACAGAGAAAAAGGTCTTCCATCTGCTGGCTCACTCCCCAAGTGGCTGCAATGGCCAGAGCTGGGTTGATGCAAAGCGAGGAGGTTCTTCTGGGTCTCCTACGCGGGTGCAGGGGCCCAAGCACTTGTATCATCTTCCACTGCTTTCCAGGCCATAGAAGAGAGCTGGATCAGAAGTTAAACAGCCGGGACACGAACTGGCTCACATATGGGCTGCCATCACCTCAGGCAGAGGCTTAGCCTGCTATGTCACAGTGCTAGCTCCTGGACTCTATGCATTTTAAAATATATTTTTGATTTAAAATTTCGATTGTGATAAATGACCAAGATTGGAACATTAGTACTAGATTCTTGTGAGACCATTCCTGAAAGTATCCCTTCATTGCCACACAATAATTTCTCATTTTTAAAGAGAGAAATCAGTGGATGGGTGTTATTTCCAATGACAACTACTAGACAATTAAAGTGTACATTTCTTCACATTTAAAACCATTCTTAAATCTTTGAATGTAGCTATAGCTTTCACACACCTCAGCATAGCTTCCATACACCCTAGTTCAATTATTTTGCTTCTTGTGTGACTCTGATAATAGATACTCATTGCAGTAATATTTGTTTTAAGTTTATCTTAAGTTAAATCTGTACAGGTAAAAGAGAATATGCAAAATGCTCATAAGTGACTCATGTTATCGTGATTCGGTGTAACATTAGCTGTATTCATGTGGCTGCTTTCACAGAGATCCCTGAGGCAAGGCGATTTGTAAACTCAACTATCCATTTATGTTTTTGTTTGATTCTTGAAACGAGTGGCCTCTGATAATCAGAATTGAAGTGACTGTGTTCCGGTGGACACGTGTGTCTTCTCTTTAGCATTCGCTCCTCTGAAGCTTTAGATAGAATGTTCCGGGTTAGAACAGTTGACTAAATTGAGCTCAGAAATGGACTCAGAAACACTTGCCATAAATAATAATCTGGTTTGGATTTAGAATTCTTTTGTGGAACCAGCTAATGGAGGGTTAAATAGATATGTGGTCTTTAAAATAGTTTAGGAAATGCAAACACTAGGAAATATAGATTTTAGGGCAGGAACTATTCAAATCTATATTTCTAGGAGCTTCTTAGGGGCAAGGACTAGGCTTTCATTATCATCATTTTGAGCTCACTCTTAGCAAATGGCTGGCACACAGTAGACAGCCAGCAGATGATAATGAGGGTTAGAGTGATACACTGGGAGGCACCCTAAGAGGGAGCATGATTGGGCAAATCCACGGAAGTGGGAGTGAGACAGTATAGAGCAGAGCTGGGGCATGGCATGGGTCAGCTTCCACCTGGCAATGAAATTGCCCAACTGGGGAAGAGGTAGATCCTTAAAATGGGCATCTCAGATAACAAAATGATGAGTTTTGTAAAATTTCATACATCATATATTGTAATGATATGCAGTATACCTTATAATATAAACAACTCACACATGCTATAGCCATGTCATCAGCAATATAACATAGAATGCCATTTGTCCAGCTCTCTGCTGTGGCCAGAGAGTGCAGTGGAGGATGGCCCAAGTACTTGGGCCCTGCACCCCATGGGAGACCAGGAGAAGCACCTGGCTCCTGCCATCGGCAGCGCGGTGCGCCGGCCACAGCACGCCGACCGCGGCAGCCATTGGAGGGTGAACCAACGGCAAAAGGAAGACCTTTCTCTCTGTCTCTCTCTCTCACTGTCCACTCTGCCTGTCAAAAAAAAAAAAAAAAAAAAAAAAAAGAATGCCATTTGTTACTAGTAGAGTACACATAGGCCATACCATATCACAATAACAAAGCAATCATGTCTCTTAAGTAATTTTTTTTCCTATTAGATTTGCCTATAGATATATCTCTTAGACTCAAGACCTTAAAAATATCACAAATAAACCTTGCATGGGCTCTGTGGTTTGTGTGTGGCATACCATTTGCAAATCTTTTATGAATTCAACCACTAAAAACATTTCTCTTTATGGTGGATCTGCTTTCATTCATCCACTTATCCCATAAGCAGCATTTGAACATTCATTGTGTACTGGACATGCTTAGCACTGGCTGTGAACACACGGCAGGGACCATCCTCCAGGGAGCTTTGCTGTGGCCTTCTGGTCACGTGTGCTGGAGGTGTGCCCATGGCCCTGTAAGCACCTCCTCTCATGCAGGCTCCCACCCTCCCGGAGGAGCTGTTCTCCTAACTAATGCGTAAAGGACAAAGGTGCTGGGAAGAGGGGTCACAGGGAAGGTTTTCAAGTGGAAGTCACAGCCTGTGCCAATGTGAAGTGGAAGATTGGCAGGGGGGTGGGGGGCACCCACAGGTGGCCCAGCTCATCCAACAGAGGTTCAGGGCACCAGGAGAGGGCATCAGCAGACGAGGGGCCCACTGTGTCACACAGGGCCTGCAGGCATCTGTTGGAGACTGATTTTCTAGCTCAGTAAATAACTGGACCTTTATCCAGAGACTCAGGTTCCCGGAGTGTGGTCTTAATATAAACAAGTGTCAGCGCTGCCCCTTGTTGGTCCTGACTGCCAGAGAAGAAAGGACCAGTCCCGGCTGTCAGGTGATTCAGAGTTGCTCACTGTGCCAGGGTGTAAAGGGCACCTCTGGTGGAGACTGAGGTAAGCGTGTGTGATCAGAGACTCCCGGACCTCCAGAACCTGGATTTTTCTGGTGAACCTAGAACAGGACTTCTACCAGGGATCCCAGGCCAGTCATTGCCTCAGGAGGACAAGAGAAAAGATGACACCATCCTTGCCTTTCTTCCAGGGCTCACAATGCGAAGTCATATTCTTTTCTAGAAAGCTGTGTGGGGCCAGCAGATCTAGAACATCAGGGTAGCTGCAAAGAGAGGGGCTAGGGCTCTATGGACAGAAATAACCTACCTACCAGGCCTTTTAAAAGCAATCAACTGTGTTTCCAAGATTGCACTGAAGCCTAAATTCTGTTTGTATCTCGACAAGCAAGTTACATCAATCAGCTTTGTTCCTTAGGCCCTTTGTCAGCCAGTATGCCATGAGTGGGTTACAGGTGTGCTAAGATGTCAATCCCATCAGCCCCTGGGCTGACCAGGCAAGGGACACCTAGAGCAGCTGATGTCCCTAAGCTGGTCATTTCCAGCCACCACCTGCAGTAGATCCTGCATCCAGTTATCCATGAGTGCTGTCTACATATTTGCAATGTGTGCCCCCACAAGAGGCAGGTTGGTATGGAAAGAAGTCTTGTTACAAGCTGATTTTGACTATTTGGGTAGGTACTGTAAAATGAGCCTGGGCTCCCAAAACGTGGGGGCAGGATTTCCCCTGAAAGTGCTATTAAGACATGTGCTAGGAACACTTAGACTATATTCTTTGTGTGCACTGTAGAGCTATTGAAGGATGTGAACAGAGGAGGAGCATGACTGTTTTTGTATTTTAGAAAGATCACGCTGGCTGCAGAAGATAAGAAAGTAAGAATGAGGGTGGAAAGGGACCAGACCAAAGGTGGGGATTCCAGTTAAGAGGCTTGATTCCAGAGAGGCATTGGAAGCCTGAGCCAAGGTTGTGTCTGAGAGCTGGAGAGAAAAGAACAGATGGGGAGGTACTGGGGCAGGGGTGGGGGTGGGTACTGAATGTGGCAGCCAAGGCGCTGACCCTGTGTGGATAGATGGCAGGAGGCTCCGCTGGAGGAAGAAGGCCCTGATGGGGCTCTCTCTGTGTGGCTGTGAGCAGCTCAGGGCTGAAACTAGCAGACTGTTGTCCTGGTCCTTCTTTTGCCCATCCACTGTGCCATCTCCTGCCCTGGTTGTTAACTTTTGTTTTTCCCCGCTCTTCAGCTGATGCTGTGAGGCCTTTAACTTTTTTCAAGTGCTTGTCCCCGTCTGCCAAAGCCTCTCTCCCACTGAGTTGTGTCTTCCCCATAGCTTCCATCATCACTCTGAGTTGGCTGTTTTCTCTCCTCACTGACCGTGCTGGAAGGCTTTGTCTCTCTGCCTTGTCGGACTTTGTACACACGTAAGCTGGTAGGGTTTAACCTCCTGGAGGTGAAAGCACAGACGGCAGTATGTTGATCAGCTTTTGTTAATACAGTGAAATAATTTGAGAAAACCTACTTATTAACTCTCCAGTTTGGTGACTTCAAATCCAAGATTGGGCTGCTGCACTGGCTGGCATCTGGTAAGACAATGGCAGAGGAAGAGTCACTTGCAAGCTAGGGAGTGGAGAAAGTGGTTGTGCCTAAACTTAGGCTTTTATAACAACACTCTCTGAAAAAGTACCTGCTGGGGCTGGCGTTGTGGTGCAGCAGGTTAAGCTACTACTTGGAGCTCTGGCATTCTATATCAGAGTGCTGGTTCAAGTCCCGGCTACTCCACTTCCCATCCAGCTCTCTGCTAGTGCTCATAGGAAATCAGCGGATGATAACTCAAGTACTTGGGCCCCTGCCAGTCATGTGGGAGAGCTGGATGCAGTTCCAGGCTCCTGTTTCAGCCTGGCCAAGCCCTGGCCATTGCACAGCCATTTGGAGAGTGAACCAACAGATAGCTTTCTTTCTCTCTCTCTCTCTCTCTCTCTCTCACACACACACACACACACACACACACTGACTTTGGAGATAAGGATAATGCCTACCACTTGGGTAAGGTAGCAAGTCTGGCTTTGTAAATGTGTTTGTCCTCACGGAGAGAGTACTCTGCCCTAAGCTTATGGAGATTTTTTTCTACGAATGATACTTTATTATAAAAGTAGTAATTGTTTGCTCTAGAAAAGTTATGACCTATAGGTGTACATTTGGAACAAGAAAATCCAGTGACACAAATAACCAGAGGTTATAGTAATGAGAAGTATTGGTGTGTGGATGTGTGAGTGTGATATCCGTTATGTGAACCTTCCTGTCTTTCTCAAAAGCGGGGTCATCATATCCAGACAGTATAGAATACTAAAAACAAGTGAACACTACTTGTCTTTAGGAGCTGGCATTGTTGGTCCTGCCACTGAGCCTGTGACATGTGTTGTTGGTGGTCCCAGAGCTATTTGACAACATTCTTAAGATGTTACTTGGTGGACTGCTGTGCCCCCTACAGTGAGATGGAGCCCCCCTCTGGTCAAAAGGTACAGATTAGCAGCTCTGAGATGAAGAAGTTCTGTATTCCTAACCGACAGCGTGGTCATTGTGGATGACAAGGCCGTATTGTATAGCTGAATTTGCCAAGGGGGTAGATTGGACGTGCCCTAACCACACACACACACACACATTTATTCACACAAAGAGATGGAAGTGTTGGTTAATGCGATGTGGTAGTGATTTCACATTGTATAGATATCCAAATACCTCATTGTATACCTTAGATATATGCCATTTTTATCTATCAGTTTTTCCTCAGTGAAGCTGGAGAAAAAGAAAGAAGGGCAGGCGCCCAGCATGCCTGGCCCTCTCCTGCTGGGTTTCCTTCTCTTTGCCTAGGATTCCCTCAGTTTCGCAGAAGATCACACTGCCCCTTCTCTGTGCCCTCACTGCTTTGAAAGTGTCTGGTTATCAGGGAGAGAAGCGCGAGCCGGCTGCGAAGGAGAAGGACGTGGGTGCCAGGCTTGGGCCTTTATTTAGTGCTCCCCTGAGCAGCTTCGCTCTTCCGCCCCCACCCCCCCACCTTCGTCCTGCCAGCCCTTCTCTGCCCCTCATCCTGCTTTTCCCAGTCTCCTAGTTCCTTGCTATTACATAATATTCCTGTTAGGATCAGTTCCTGTTTTGCCAGGGAGAGGAATTGTGAGTGTTTTGGGGAAAAACCCTGTTCTAACATTAGCAGGGGTAGCCGTGGCCAATGCATGACCTCATAAGGGAAGCACCCTGCTCCACTGGCTTCTCTGTTCCTGTCTGAGTCAGCGCACCGATGACTTTACCTTTCGGCACGGGTGACTTCCCCTCGGCCCTGGTTCCTCTGAGGGAGTCCACGAGTCTCTCTCTCAGAATAAGGAAACTGCCAGGCTTCAGTTAGGTCGTCTAGTTAGTGACGACTTTCACTGAGACGCACATGCCTTGGGCTACTCACGGCACTCTAGGAAAAACTCTCCTTCTATTAGGCCTGCAGACATACCCTCGCCTTCTAGAACTTTCTCTCATGGAAATCTTTAAATGCTTAAATGTGTATGGAAATAAAGAGACTAAGAAGCTCTTATTGATATCCCTTCCCTGACTTAGCAGTTATTAATTCATGATCAGTCTCATTTTACTGTGCGCCTATCCCCTCCCCCATTCGTGAGGCGATTCCTAGACATGATACCATATTAATTGTATTTGTTAAGTCATATGCAGTCACAGTTGCATTGTCACCTTAGAAAATGAAGCACGATCCCTCAATATCATTAAATCCAATCTTTGTTCAAATTTTGCCAGTTGTCTCATGATTTTTTAGTTTGTATATATATTTGAATCAGGATCCCAACAAGGTCTGTCTATTGCAATTAATTGATAATGTCTTTTAGATTATTTTAACCTATAGGTTCCCATATTTTTTTCTCTGTAATTTATTGTTGAAGATACTATGGTTACAGAGAAAGTTATATATTCTGGGTTTATTGATTGCATCTTCATAGTTCCTTCAGTGTATTCATTTTTTCAAGAAACTCTATACTGACTCCCTTATAACTTAAATTACCATCCCTACTCAATCTACTTTTATTGATTTTCCTCACATGGCTCTTTACCAAGTAAAGGGTTTCTGCTGCCAGCTAATTTACAATGTAATCTGAAAGATTATAGTTAGTGTTGGATGCTCT